TATAAATATATGTAATATGTATTAATTACATTACTATATTTTAATGTAATATATAATAGAGCCATTTATAATTGCTTTGGGAGACACTGAACTTCAATGATTTTATTTTTTCAATATATGATGAAGAGGTTAATTTCAGACAAAAAAGGGAGTTTTAGTGAAGTGTAAAAGACAATTATGAGAGAACAACTCCTTTGATCTCAGCTCAGACGTAGGGACCTGGACACTGTTTCAAACTGTGTGAGGGACAAGGGGACTCGCCAGGGCCACAATAAAGCCATAGGCTGTGCACTGAGCAGAGAAGCTGCCACTAGCCAAGAGCCAGCTCACTGCCCTCTTCTCTAGGGCAAAGTAACTCTCAGCAAACAAAATCCAACAACTTTATGAACCCCCTTGGCTGTTTACACAATAAAGAGTGAATTAAAAAGAGCATCTGGATGAACAGAAACCCAAGTTTCTCAGTTCATAAAACCTTTATATTCTCCAGTGCGTTGTTTGAGGAAGTATCAATCAAGGTAGCAAAAGTGATAGCAAAAGAATTGATTGATAAAATTTTTGCAAAACTAGTACATACTTACTATAATTCATTATTTAAGATGCCTTGACTGGTATACGCATTATGTTTACTTATATGCCTCCTCCCCCTTTCCTTTTCAAAAGCTTTTCCAGTATAAAGACTTCTAGAGTCATGCTGCTGGCTTCCTGAAAGGTCTAGCTAGTACACTACACAATGTCAGGTACTCAGCAAAAACAGAAAAAAAAGATTAAAGAGTACAAAAACATACACCATGTCCTGAACAAATCTGGCTGTCTGTGGTGCCTGGGCAGGTACTGAAGTTGAAGGCCTCGGTGGGGAGGCAGCGATGCTCAAGGCAGACCATGTTCGGCCCACACGGCGTCCCATTCTCCACATAGCCTAGGTCTGTCTCCTCATCGAGCTTCACATGGCCACCACTGCAAGACAACCAAGAGGACCCCAGAGACTTGTTTTGTGATTAGATGGGACTGCTTGAGAAACTGGGCTCAGGGCTGCTGCCTTCATTTCTCTCTGCATTATACGATGCCCAGGACCAGGAAAGTGTAAGTATTGGCTTATTTATCTCACTGGCCCTAATGTGAAACAAACCAAAACACGGTATATCTACATCAAAAAATGTAATGGTGAAAACAAAGACCATTTTTCCTATGTAAGAGCTAGTATTAGATAAAACACTGAGTTTACTTGTGTAGGACTTTATTTCATCTTAACTGTTGTGTGAAGCTACGAGAACACACCAGGTCTATAATTGGGATTCAGCTAACATATGGCAACGTATTAAGCTGCCAGTTAGCTTTGGCAGTGCAGGCATATGTCTAAGTATTTTAAGTACATTAAGTACTGTACAAACATTAAAGAATGTAAAATCAAGAGGCCAGAGAAGAGCATTATGCCTCTACAGGCAAAATTAACTACTACACAGAGGAGACTGCAAAACAGCTGCACTCCCCACATGCAGTCCGTTTCCTGAAGCTTAACAAAGGTTGAGCTGGAATAATGGTTATGTGTTAATAGGGAAAAAACTTTAATGTAAACAGTTGTTCTCCACTTAGAAATGAGAAAGCTGCTTTCCTATGCAAGATGGATATTGATTGTCTCTGTTCTGTTTTCCAGATTTCCAATTACCTGCAATTGTAGACTTTTCCAAACTGCAAGATTGAAGATGTGATTTCACCATCAAGTTCTCCAAGTCTGGGCACACTGGATATATTGGAGCACAGAAGGTATCCACAAAGCACATCCCTGAATTGAGAGAATAAACAGATACTCACCAAAAATAAAATTCAATAAAAATGGATAATAAAAAAATGTAGGTTTTTTCACTTGCTTTGTAATATGCTTTTTATTCCTTGTTTTTTTCCCAGTGACAGTAACTCCCACAAATGATGTCTTGTTTCCCAAGAAAATTACTCTTCTTGGAGCTTAGACTGGGAAAAGTCTCTTTTATGATGTATTATCAAAAATGCTCTGAGTAATAGCAAGGAGGGAGCTGTCAAGAACAAACCACATCAAATTGATTTAACATCCTACTAAGATACAGTAACTGGCCCATAGAGGAGAAACAGTAGATACTGGCTTTAAACAAACTCTCATATGACACATATGTAAGGGAACCAGAGATACCACGTTTAATTCAACTGTTGAAGGGACTTTACAATTTGTGTGCAGAGACCTGTGTACTGTCAGAATAGAAGGATCTGGCCTATCCCATATTACTGAATATTTTTGCTCATGAATTTGTAATGGAACAGAAGTAAGGTTATCAAATCTGCACAGAAAGGTGGGAAAGGATATTAGTTCACCTGTAGGCAGGACTAGAATTCAAATGGCATTGCCAGAATGGAGAATTCATCTGAAAAAACAGGGTGCAGTTTGATAAGGACTGGCAAAAGGTTCAGAAATGGGCAGAAATAATCAAATGCATAAATACAGAATGTGAAACTATAGTCTAGGCAGCAACTTGCAGGAAAAGATGTGGAAAATTACAATACAATGAAAAGCGAACACAACTTAGCAATGCAATGGCACAGCATAAAAGGTGAACACCACACTGAGACGTGAAACCACAGGCTGCTCTCCTCAGCACTGCTAGGCCTCACCAACAGTATTAGGAACACTTTTGGTCCAAGTGCTCCCAAAATTCAGATGGTGCTCTCCTGTCAGAGGTCATCTCCGCTCGACACTCCACTCCCTCCAGAATTTCCTGCACTATGGTCTGCAGAAGTCTGATCCGTACAGAGGCTTTTTGAGTCTCTTCATGCCAGCTAAAGAACTGGATCAGGGATAAAAAAATCTCATAGCAGTTGTTTTCTAAATGGATCAACTTACTGTTTATTGCATTGTATCCAAGAGTCCTTGTCTCTTCCACAGTTTCCTTTCTCGGTTCCTTCAATATTCAGCTTCTCATAGCAGTACCTGTCAGCAGCTGTCACTTCTAAAAACACAAACAAGTATCTTCTAAGAAGATGAAGACTTTGAAAAGCCAGGTCCTGGGAAATGGGGATGCACAATCAAAGTGCAAGCTGTGAACTGCAGTACCATGGTCTGCAGGTGGCCTGTGAGACTCTGTACAGTGCTCTCAATGAAAAGTTTTATATTGGCACCACAGGACTGTTTTAAAATTTTGTTCAGATTGACCAGGGTTTATTGGTCAAAAATGTCCAGAAGCCACTGAAATAAATCAATAAATATGAGTATACGTTCCCTAGGTAGTTATTAATGAGAACTTAAACCTAAGAATTCAGAATAATCACCAGTAAGTTAACCAACACTAGAGAAAGAGCTGGAAAAGAGCACGGAAAGACAAAATGAGGGGGGAAGGTGGGGAGGGACATGCAGTCCTAGCTTTTTTAAATGGTTCTGAATGTGTGTCTTCCATAATTTTTCTTAGCTAAGATATTCTTTCAAGCCACATGAACAACAAACAACTTAGAAACAATAATATTCACTCACTTTCACCCCAGATATATTTACACTGCCGGTCCCTGGTTTTACATCTTCCTCCAAAACAAATACCCTAGTGAGAAAGAAAAGATACAGAAAAAGCTTCAAATAACTTGGTTTTCCAAAATATGTATTTGTTTAATATGCAGATTTGTCACATGCTTTCTATTGAGGCAACTAATATGTGATTCTACTTTCTGTTCATTTAAATGTTTAGCTCCAAAATATGACTAGCACCCAAAACTTAGGAATGTCAGCAGAACTGTCCCAGGTGACTTCCAAAGATCTTAAATCAAAATCTATAAAAAGCAATCTATAAAAGCAGAAACAATGTAAAATAAATTGAAGTGCTAATTACCTGCTTGTTATCACATGAATATCCATCCATTTTATGAATGTTGGGAGAACACTATAGAAAGAGAAAATAACTAATAGATCATAGAGCAGACAAGCATGGAAGCAAAGTATAGAACAAAAGTCATATGGAAAATTATTTCAGTATCATGCTTGTTTTTTCAGCATCAGCAGGTTTAATACAATTTTTATACACCTTACTATACAAAATGGTAACACTCATAGTGATTGAGAGACTACAGGTGGGTTTTTTTATCTCTTGGACAGAAAATATAAAAATCACCTGACTGGAATTTCCTGTGCAGTTCTCTGCAATATCACAATCATTCACTGCTTCTCGGCACAAAACTCCTTTAGGTTCAAACTGGAAAAAAAAGACAGAAAATTAGTGTCTTGGTTTCTCTGTACCTTGCCTTAAATGCAATGCTTCCTTAGAGTTTTAACTAAAATAAAAAATGGGAACTATTAATGTGCTGACTGAAGTGAGATGTTGCACCACCCAAGCCATGGCCATTTGCACCTTGAATACTGTGTTCAGTTTTGGGCCGCTCAGTACGAGAAGGACATTGAGGGCTGGAGTGTGTCCAGAGAAGGGCAACGAAGCTGGTAAAGGGACTGGAGCACAAGTCTTATGAGGAGCAGCTGAGGGAACTGGGCATGTTTAGCCTGGAGGAGGCTGAGGGGAGACCTTATTGCTCTCTACAACTACCTCAAAGGAGGCTGCACTGGTGTGGGTGTTGATCTCTTCTCCCAAGTAATTAGCGAAAGGATAAGAGGAAATGGTCTCAAGCTGCATCAGGGGAGGTTAAGATTAGATAGTAGGAAAAATTTCTTCACCGAAAGAGTGGTCAGGCATTGGAACAGGCTCCCCAGAGAGGTGGTGGAGTCACCATCCCTGAAGGTGTTCAAAAAACACGTAGACATGGCACTTCGGGACATGGTTTAGTAGACGTGGTGGTGTTGGGTTGGCGGTTGGACTTGATGATCTCAGAGGTCTTTTCCACTCTTAAAGGTTCTATGATTCTATGATTTACTGGTGCAAGTGGCACCCCTCTCTGAGGCACCCCCTCCCAAGTGCACTGAGTGCAGGGCCGAGCAGCATCAGCGCTCTCCCGGGACACAGGACCCCTGCGGTTTATCAAACCAACACCCTACTGGCTTGCAGCATTATCTTGACCAGGGCATTGCGCCTTTTTGTGACTATTTTACCCTTCTTTATAAAACAGGGAGAGTAATCCTGATCTTCCCTCTAGGAATAAAGAACACTGCAAAGCTTTAGGTGTAAACACTCTGGTTATTACCATGCCCCGATACTGTTGTAGAACAGAAACTATTACTAAATGTACTGAATTCTGTATGGTTTGACATCATTTTCTAAGTGACCAGACATTTAACAATGAAAAATGTACCAGAGACCTAACATAGTCATTTTGGTTAAAGACTTCTGTGCTAAGTCTCAAGACCTGTAAAAGCAGGAAGACATCCTATTAGTAGCAATTGTTAGTGCTTCTGGTCATGGACATACTACAGATTCCTCCTTTTTCCTGAAAAGTTTAATTCTGTGATACCCGGTTCATTTTGCAGCTCTGTGACTTTTTGGGGGGATCTGCATGCATGTACGTATTTTTGGGGACAACTGCTAACTTCACAGCTGGTGTGAATGGGCACACGTCAGTGGAAGAGCTACACTCTGGTACTTTCTCAGCCTTCAGCTTATCTTTTTGCTATCAGTCTCTGGAAAAATGCAGAGAGAGACAGGAATGTTGTCAGAGACACCACAGGATGCTGGGATGTACACGCACCACGCTTTGCTTGCAATCCCTCCTTCAGGCAGGGTATTACAGGGGAAGGTAACCCCAAGTTTGGGAACTGTTATATCTGGTTTTTTGAGTTGTCCTGATTAACATCTCCTAGGGACACATGATTTGCAAGATTCTGCCTCTCTCTTCATTGGCTCACCCTCGCCACTCTGTATGTAGATAAACCCTTGTCTCATTTGCAAAAATAATGTAGGTACACAGAAGCTTAATTTTTTTCTGATAGTCTTTAATATGGTGCCTATGTGACTTGGATACTTGAACAAAATTCACCCACACTGGCAATCTGCTGATTTTTTTTTTATATTACATTAAAAAAAAGGAATGTGCTTAGGGAAATGTGATCTGTTCCAGCATAATCTGTGCTTTTTCTTTTTTTAACATTAGGATGAGCACAAAGTCAAGAATATGGTCCACAGTTATTACTAATGTTCCTCCTAAGGAAATGAAACCTTCAAATGCCCACAGACAAAGATTAAAATATCACACATAGTACACCACAGTTTTAATAACATTAATAATAATTATCATTATTACTAAATGAGTATAAACAAGTATTTGAAGTCATATTTAGCTGGGCTCCCTTAGAGCCAAGATCTGGCTAAATCTCCTTTTACTATTTACTGATGTATCAGGAAGAATAACTAATAGTTTACATAGGGCTTGATTCCCTTTACTCAATGGGATTTCAGTCAGTCCAAACATGAGGTGTCACAGGCAGACCTAACTGAAACTGAAGGCAGGTATCTTTTAGATGAACGCTTCTGAACAATTCTGCTAGCTGCAGGTTTGGGTTTTTTTACTATATCCTTCTCCCAGGCCCTCTGTGGTACAATTTTTCCACTCAGTCTCATGAGGCAAATCCAGAGCAGCACATAAGGCACTGGTAGCAGCACATGGGTAAGGATGGGCGTATTTAAACAAAGACATCTAAGGAAACTTCATGGAGCTTCAACCTGATTCAAACTGGTCTGAAACTGGATTGCTTTAATTCACCTCTGCATTTGACCACAGTCCCGGCTCCAAGAAGCCAAGCCTAAAAGACAGAGAATAGCCCCTGACGAACCAGTTTTCAGCCAACTTTAAAAGGTAAGCTTTCAGAATAGTAATCACAAGGTCTGCAAGGAAAAAGACATGCTGTGGTGCCTGTAGCCACC